GTTTCTAAAATTTAATTTTAGCATCTTTTATATAAGGAACTATTTTTTATTATATATTACGATAAAGATAGTAATTTTTCAAATAAAGATGCTTTTATTCTTTGAATATTTCAAGTCATGTTGCAGTGCAACGTGACTTGAGAGATCGTTGAGCATATTCCCAGCAAACACAGATATATAAACGTATCATTGCCGTAATAAAACGGAAAGTAACAAGTAATATAACGTGTTTGTTACATGTAACGTTCACGTTAGTTGTAATTTCCCACTCATATCAAATTGCAGTTATATAATCTGACTATAACATGTTACTAAAATGTTATATTACTGTTGCAGTAGTAACTGAAAGGTTATATAACAATTATATAGATTACTAAAATGGTATATAAATGCGATATAAATTAATTATCTGTTAATGAAAGTGTTATATAATTATTCTTTTATTTGTTATAAACTAGTACTATAACTATTAAAAAAATGGTCAAAGCCCGAAGCACGGGTGTTTTTAGAATTGACTGGTCAATGCACGAAACAACCAAGCGTCTTGGTCAAAGCCCAAAATAGTTGTATCGTAGTGACATATATAAAATAGATTAGTTAGGTTAGGTTAGATTAGGTTTTCACGAGGAGGAAGTGCCCGCTCACACGTTACGATAATATAAGATACAAACAAAATATTTTATTCGTCTCAAATGTCTATTTGAGCTTTGACCAAAACGCTTGGTTCCGCATTGAGGCCTGGTTTATGCGAGCAATAACCGTTAACTTATGCCGGAACCGGTAAAGTTTAACTATATGATTTTAATACTTCTGTTTATACGAAATTGCCGGATGCCGGTAACTTATGCCGTAATCGTAAAGTTCACTCAACTTTAACTGTAAAGGAATACGGCCATACGGCGTAATGCAAGCGGAAGATGTGGACATGTGGAAAATACCGCAAAACGATGAAGACATGGAGACAGATATACATTTAATAACTTTAGTGGAACGATTTCCACACTTATACGATAAAAAAGATGTAAAATATAAAGACCGGACGGCTGTGGATAATTCGTGGCAATTTATAAGTGGAGAATTAAAAATACCAGGTAAATACATATTATAATGTAATACATTGCACATGCACGCATACACAATATAAAAATAGTATAATATAAAATCTAGAATGAAGTAAATAAAATATACTACTTAATTAGAATATACAAAATACGGCAAGTAAAAAAGTTTGGTTAAGTTAGGTTAAGTTAATAATAATATAAATGCACTAATATTTTATTTCAGCTGCTGATTGTATTAATCGATAGTTGGCATTACGGAATAGATTTTCTAAAGAAAGAGCTAAACAACCTCCTTCAGGATCAGGTCTGCAAACAGAATGGTCATTAATGAAGTATTTAGCATTTTTACATCCTGTGGTTAAAAAACGACGAACGTTTGGAAATATTATAACAGAAGATGAATCAAACTCTTCCTGGAAATTGCAAAACTTGGATTCACAGAGACCTACAACACCAAGCACATTTACACCACAGAGACCCACAACACCAACCACATCTACACCACAAAGACCCGCAACACCAAACAAATCAACACCACAGAGACCCACAACACCAAGCACATTTACACCACAGAGACCCATAACACCAAACACATTTGATCCAAAGAGATTTAAAAATCAAAAAAGAAAGCTAT